ACCCTGTCTCCCTCCCATCTTTTCTCTCTCTCTCTCTCTCTCTCTCTCCTCTTGTAAGTCAATTAATTAACCAGACCCTCTTCTATATCCCCTCTTACACATCTATAAGGTGAGGGGGTTGGATTTGGTGACTTCTAAAGTTCCTTTTGGCTCTCAATCTATGATTTTATGATGTTATGAATGGAATAATTTAGGGGCTGCTAGGTGGCACAGTAGATAGAGTACCAGCCCTGAAGTCAGGAAGACCTGAGTTCAAATCCAGCCTCAGACCAAACACTTGACACTTGCTAGCTTTGTGATCCTGGGAAAGTCACTTAACCCCAATAGCCTGAAAAAAAAAAGAATGGAATAATTTGTGGCAAGATTAGTTACCCCAAGGAACCACTAATGCTTTATCTCTCGATTTAAGCCAGAGCAATTGTTTTCTTCAATTTTCTTTGAAGATATAACCACATATAAGTTAGGGGCTTTCTATGTTCATACGCTTGTGTGGAAGACATCTCTTAAGGAAAAAAGAAGTTAAGCTCTAATTGTCTGTTTTTAATATGTGCAGATCCTTCCTAAAACACCAGTTTGAGCATGACAACCTCCACCCCCTACTCAAAAGTCTTCTCTGGCTCCCTATTATCTCTAGGAGATAATGCAAAGTCCCCAGCATGACAAAGAAAGCTCTCCAATATCTTCTTTCCACCTACCTTTCATTCATTCTCCATTTCAAGCACTCAGAAATCTACCGGTAGTTCCCTCAATGTACTGCTCCGTGTTCCATCCCTGTGTCTTTGTACAATTGGTGCCCTAATTTGGAAATGTCCTGCCTCCTCACCTTTGCCTCACATAATCCCTAGTTTCCTTCAAAGCACAGCTCACATGAAGCCTTTCCTTACCTCCCAGGTGTCAACTGTCTTTCCCTGCTGTAGTTATGTTGATTTTCATTGTATTTACTTCTAGGAGAATGAAATTTCCTTGAGCACAGGACTTGTTTCATGGTTTTTTTTTTTGTATCTCCAGTATCTGGAGTATTTTTTTTTCCCACCAGACTTGTGATTTCAGTGTTGCAGGGAACTTTCTTTGTCAATGCAGATTGCAGCTACTGGACAGCTTTTAGTCTTAGAAAATGGCCTAGAGCCCTGATGTGCTATGTGAAATACACAGGGTCCCAGCCAGGATGTGCCAGAAGTAGGACTTGACTCCGTGACTTCTTGTTTCCAAAGCCAGCACTCTATCTACTATGCAAAGCTACTCAGCACATATTATTGTTCAGTTGTTTCAGTCGTGTCTGACTCCTCATGACCCCATTTGGGGTTTTCTTGGCAAAGATACTGGACTGGTTTGCCATTTCCTTCTCCAGCTCATTTTAAGATGAGAAAACTGATGTAACAAAAGTTTTTCTTTTTTTCCCCCAATGGAGTAGAGAAAGGTGGGTAGAAAAGAAAGTAGATTTGTATTAATTGAAAGAAAGTTTCATTAAAAAAAAGAATAATGTCAAGTCTAAGGATATTCTACAGGAGCCGAGGCCAGGAAATTCATAGAAATCAAAAAGGGACCAGGTCCAGGGTAGGTCAGAGTTCAGAATTCCTAGGAATATAAACATCTTTAGTTGTCTTAATTCCAAGTCAGAACATGGACAAAATACTGTAGAGGTCATCAAGTCCAAATATTTCATTTTATAATAAGTAAACTAATTTATTGGAAGGTTAAGCACTGTCTGCTAGTTTATAGCAGAGGTAGGGCTAGAATCTAGGTTTCCCATTGGACTGAGGTCTGGTGGGTTTTTTTAATAGAGTAAAAGCTTTTTTTTTTTTTAAATCTGTCTGACTTGAATTTAACCACTAAGCTAAAATTATTTTATGTCATTCAGTAGTTCAATTTTTTTTTTGCTTTTGGAAAGTTGTAAGAATAAATCTTTCACCAACTTAAAAAAAGATGAGAAAACTGAGGCAGGCAAGGTTAAGTGACTTGCCCAGGGTTACACATTTAGTGTCTGAGGCCAGATTTGAACTTAGATTTTCCTGACTAGACTAGACCTAGCACTATACCCACTGAGCCACCTAGCTACACCTCCTGCCCCCCCAACACATAATAGGTGCTTCATAAATATTTGATCAATTGAACTGAAGTGCCCTGAGGTCTCCAACCTCATTAGCATCATAGTCTAACCCAGCAGTAGACAGCTAAATGGTTCCTATACAAATAAATGTGAATCTTAGCTGGGCATTGACTGGTTTCAAGCTAGTCTTAGAAGAGAGCTTTTCTGCATCAGACTTTGAGTTCATTTTGCTGGTTTAGTGATGGTTGTTAAAACTCATTCTTGGGGCAGCTAGGTGGCACAGTGGATAAAGCACTGGCCTTGGATTCAGGAGGACCTGAGTCCAAATCAAGCCTCAGACATATAACACTTACTAGCTGTGTGACCATGGGCAAGTCACTTAACCCCATTGCCTAACAAAAAAACCAAAAAACTTATTTTTGCATGATGGTTAGTTAGTGACTCTTGTGAATGTGGGGTCATTCCTTCTGGATTGCTGATCAAATTAGAAATTAACACTGTTCACTAGAACTGTAAGCATTTTCTGCATAATTAAAAATGCAAGAGTGGGTGAATTTTAGTGAGACCAAGACTCTCTTGTTTGCTGGCATCGTGGGTTGTGAGCATTCTGTAGCTGGATCCAATGGATGGCCTAGAACGTGGGCTCCTCATAGTGGCACGTGGGTGTCCTGGAATCATTTATGGAAGGGAAAGGAGTCACAGTGACTGGGCTTTCCAGATTCTTGGGGAACTATACAGTTGATAATGCTGTTGTCTGACACACAGGAAGTTCTGGCAAAGCACTGGTTTATTTCACAATGGAGAGCTACTGAAAAGGCCAAACATAATTAAAAGGCAGTCAGCAGTTCTGTTTTTCATGTCTTTTTTGGGGGGTGGGGGTGGGGGTGGGGATGGAGGGCCAGTATTTGAGTATCTCACTGAAGGGAGATGCTGAAGCTTAGAAGTAGGGAAAAGGTTATGCTTGAATTTAAAACTGCTTAGGATCAATTTGAAAGGTTAACCACAGTAGGAGTAATGAATTAACAGGCACATTCAAGTATAATGATGATAATAATGTTGAGGAAGTTGACAGTAATAACCAGCACTTATACAGGTCTTTAAGGTTTACAAAGCACTTTACACATGGTATCTCCCTGGACCCTCACAACACTGTGAGGTAGGTATTGTCATTAGGTCCAATTTACAGGTGAGGAAACTGAGGCTAAGACACTTATCCAGAGTCACACAACTGGTGCAGCATTCAAACTCCGCTTTTTTCTTACTTCAAGCTCAGGGTTTTATCCATTTTGCTGCCTAGTTGACTCTTCATGATCTATTAATAGCCTAAAACAATTTACATATTTAATACTAGGGTTAGATTAGCCACACAAATTGCATGCTGCTGAAACAAAAACAGCTTCTAATTAAAAAAAAGTGAATACAAACTGTGTAGTATATTTATCTTAATTATAATTGTAACATTGAAAATGGATAACAAGTTATGTTGCTGTTCAATTGTGTCCAGCTCTCCATAACCCCATTTGGGCTTTTCTTGCCAAAGATAACGAGTGATTTGCCATTTCATTTTCCAGCTTATTTTACAGATGAGGAAACTGAGGCAAACAAGGTTCAGTGACTTGCCCAGAGTCACACTGCTAGTAAGTGTCTGAGACCATATCTGAACTCAGGTCTTCCTGACTGCAGACCCAGCACTCTATCTACTGTGCCACCTAGCTGCCTATCTGTCTATCTGTATCTGTCTGTCTATCTGTCTATCAATGTGTATAGGACTTATTGGGAGTTCTCAGAATAAAGAATTAACTCAATGGTTATATAAATCAGCACCTAAAATGTGAATTTTTTACCTGTTTCTGAACGAATAATGGTCTCCAACCTTCAAGAATAGGTTTTGGTAAGGTGATTCATGTGGGCATCTTGCCTGCTACAGGCAATAACAAATAGCTAAACATAGTATTTTAAGCTAAACATAGTATTCTTTCAAACTTCAGCTAAGAGAGATTCCAGTTAAATTATCTTTGAAGTTACTGTGCTCTCTTTTAAGCCTTTAAGTCTGTTCTAGATTTTTATGGATACATTTGATCAATTATACACACCAAGGACAACAAATCTGAATGAATATAGTTAGGTCTGTGATTCTTCTTTCCTTTATCTTTTGGCCCCTCTACTCAGGTTTCATGTGTCTAGTAATGCTTTTTGGTCTCTATGGGACACTAGGATCATAGAATTTAAAGGTAGAAGGAATCTAGAGATCATTTACTGAGGCCCAGAGAGGTGATATAATTTGCTCAGAGTCTCACAGCTTGTGAGTGACAGAGAAAAGACTGGAAACCTGGATCTCATTACTTCCAGGGCCATATTCTGAGACCTCATGCTGCTCCTCATTCATAGGGTTCTGGGGCAAAATCAGTTCTGCTCTTGGGGCTAGTAAGGACAACTTGTTAGTACTAATCAATGCAAATTTTAAGGGTCAATTTCTAGCTTCAAAAATTGAAATGCATCAATTACTGGGCATCTAGATGGCACAGTAGATGGAGTACCAGGGCCTAGAATCAGGAAGACTCATCTTCCTGAGTTCAAATCTGCCTTCAGACACTTACAAGCTGTGTGACCCTGGGCAAGTCACTTAATCTTACTTCTTTTAGTTTCCTTGTCTGTAAAATGAGCTGGAGAAGGAAATGGCAAACCACTCTAGTATCTCTTCCAAGAAAACCCCAAATGGGGTCACAAGGAGTAGGACACAACTGGAAAACTCCTGAATATGCACTTAATTACTTAGAATGTGTGAAGAAAATAGATAAACCACCACTTCCTTCATACAGGTTCATGAGCTGGGAACCAAAGCATGACATTAACAAGAAAGCTAAAGACATCTTTAAACTACAGAAAGATCCTCAATATTTCCTGTGTTCATATGAGGGAAAGCCTGGATTTATGTGTGTGTGAAATGAGGCACTGATTCTGAGGCAATTAGACACCATTGATAATTAAGTGCATTTAATATAATTAAGTGAAGTTAACATTAAGTCATGATTTCCTCAAAGGAACAACTTTAAAATAAAACAACACAAAACCCAATTGCTTTCTTGGAATCAATCAGCATGTCCCATGCACAGGTAGATATTTACTAAATAAATAACATTTAGGCATAACTTACGTAACTGTAGTAGTAACAACACATCTTACTTTTTATTCTAGGACCTCAAAGTCTATTGCATAAAGCAAAATGATATTAGAAGTTCTAGATTCCTCAATAGATACAGAAAGTCCCCTTCTGTCCTAAGAAAGATTTTCCAAAGGGTAGAACTCAAATTAAAGCTCCAGGGAACAAACCCAAGTTTTGGATATTTTTGCAATTTCCCTGAATCAGAGTTAAAGTGGCTTTTCATAGGATGATAGATTTAGAACTAGAAGGGGCTTTAGGGAAGCTTAGAGTTCAACTAGTCTCAACTCCCTCATTTTACAGCTGAGGAAATGAGGTCAAGAGTGATTGTTACCTGTCCAAGATCACACAAGTAACATGTGTCAGAGCTGGATTAAAACCCAGTTTCTCTGACTCCAAATCTGGCCTTCTTTCCACTATTCTACACTGTCTCCTTCAGAAATATTCATTTTGCCTCCTCCCATATCTTAATCAAAGATGTCATTTTAATGCGAGGAATCAGGAGAGGATCACCTCACAAAACACCAATTGTTCTTTAGAATCAAACACTTTAACCTGAGAAGGATATGCATTCTTGACAAATAGTATCTGTGGTCTTCAACAAGAGTACATTTGGGTTTGCCATTTACCTGATTCCTAATCATTATGGCTGTGATCCTTAAGTGGAAGAAAATATATCGCAATGAAGTAAAAGAAACTCCTTGCCTAGATGAATATATGCATATATGTTTGTATTAACAGAGCTACACTCAACACAAAAGGAAAAGTGTGATTAATCAGCTAAATGTGAGACTTAGGGCCCTTTAAAGGGGGCAGAATTTCATATGGCCTCGATTAGGGCTGGAAGCCCTGTCCACCTTAGAATTTGTTAACTGAATGGTATAAGGGGGTTTCTTTCCACTCCATGAAGGTGCTAAAACACAGTGGAGTCTAGTTAACAGGCCAGTGTGTAAACCCTGCTGTAAGGGAGAATGAAGGCATCTGAAGCTGCCCCACACCTCGAATCTGCGGCACAGTGTGGAGACCCTAAGATTGTCCCGGGAGCAGCAGTGTCGCATTGTGAGCCAATTAAACAAAATGCTTTCAAGAACCAAAGCCCAAAATTGTTTGCAGAACAAATTTACTTTCTTACTGATACGGACAGGACTTAGCCACCATGAAGCAAGAGCTGAATTAGCTTTTCCTGTGTGTTTCCTTACTTTGGAGGAGACGTAAAATGCGTTCATTTTTGGTTAATTCTGATGGCAGCTCATTTGCCTGAAAGAAGAAATACAGTGGTTAAGAAAACTCCAACCAATGTTGCTTGTCTTGATAAACCTGCCCCCAATAATCTCCCTTCCATTGATCTAAAACACTTATGTTATTTACTTATGGAGTTGTGTCTTCCTAGTCTTGTCCAAACTGTAAACCGCATTGACTCATACTGCACATGATCTGTGGTCTACAATTCAATCACACAGATTGATTTAATTGTGTTATTGGGAGACTGTGTGGTTTGGTAGAAGGCTCCTATATAAACACTTGAAAGACCTGGGTTTCAATTGTGGCTATGCCAACTTACTAGTTATTTTACCTCAGGCAAATCACTAAACATCTCTAAATAATAGTTTTCTGTTCTCTTTATTAACCTCACAGTTGTATGGGGATCATAAGAGCTTATGAATAAGCATAACTAATATCATCAAAAGATAACAACAGGAAAGGAAGCAAAATATTAAGCAGAATGATGTTTTGGGCAGTTAGTTCCACAGATCAATGTTATAAGTGGATAATTAGAGGAAGGAAGTTACAGCAGGATTATGTGACTCTACAGCTGGGGCTGATTATTCTGTATTGACAGCATTCTTGCAAAGTGCTTTGGTTGGGACAACCTCACAGAGGTATGCTATTCTGCAGAAATGCTTTGAAAAATGTAAAGCATTAAGCATTTGCAAGATATCATTTTGCATGGTATTTAAATTATAGTTTTCTATGAGTCAAGTCATTGAGGTCAATAAGCATTTATTACCTACTATGTGTTGGACACTGGGCTAATCACTGGGGAACTAAAGAAGGGCAAAAGACAGTCCCTGCTCTCAAGGAGCTCACAGTCTAATGAAGGAGACAACATGCAAATAACTGTACAGAGTATTATATGTATATGTATATATACATATACATATGTATGCACACACAAACAATATATGTGCACACACATGCACGTGTGTATGCATGTATCTGCACAAAACAAATACATAATAATTTGTATGTGTATTATACACATATACATAGAAACATATATATATATATGTGTGTATTATGTATACTCATTTTATTTCCTTTTATTGTTTGAGACTCAGCCATTCCCCCTGCAAATTTTGGTTAACTAAAAGTCTATATTCTGTTAATATTAACCTCGCTTGATCAGAAATCTGTAGCTAGAGATAGGAAAATTTACTTAGATACTTCAACATTCCTTAGATAAGAAGCCCAAGGAAGAACCTCAGTCGTCCCTGACTCCTGACATGTAAATACTCCTTAATCTGCCTCTCGGTGAATCCTCTAAATGGTTTAGTTTATCTAACAGAGTTTGTTTGATGAGATTATGGCTGTTTGTTCAACCTACATGGCTGGGAAAGGAAAGGAAGGGAAGGGAAAAATAGAAATCTATTTCTTCTATCTTCTTTTTAACTTTTATGGCCTAAGAGGAATGTACAAGAATGCCAAATGTAAAAGAATTATTTCTCTGTTATTCTGACATAATTTTCCCTACAAGAAGCCTTGTCAGAACCTTTGTGGTTATTCAGGTTTTCTCTGAGGCCTGAAACTATGCCTTTGCATAATAATATTACCACTACAATTTCTACATCGTGGTAAATATATATTTGGCAGCAGTTACCCACCACATCAACTGAGAGAGGAGATATTTCTCCCATAAAAACTATATTCAGAATAGAGCACCATAATATACCTTTAACCCATTCATTAAGTTAGGAAACTCAATAGAGGATACTTAGTGACAATCAGCACAAGGGGAAAGGATTAACTCCTTGTCCTGTAAGGGAAGAGTATGGAGGAGCATGGGTTCCTCCAAACAGCCACTATTTTTAACTGTTTGTACGGGTTTCCCCAGGAAACACAGGGAGCCAGGATCCATCTCTCCACTTCATTTCACTATTCTCTCTTGGTTCACCCCACCTCTCTATGTTTCAAAAACAAAACAAAACCAAAAAACCCCAAACAAATAGTTCTTTACAAAAAATAATAATAATTTTTTTTTCAGTTCTTCCTATCTATTTGGCCACTTCTCATTTGCTCATCTCCTTTGCTGGATTTCTATATTTGTTCTAGCTACTAATAATCATGGATATCCATCTCCCCAAGGAACTGTCCTGGATAGTTTTCTCTTTTCTTCTATGAAACAGCTAAATGGGGCAGTGGATAAAGTGTTGGGCGTGGAGTCAGGAAGACCAGATGGTGAGGGCCAGAGCTGAAGAGTCTAATATGGGATAAGGAATTTAGGTCAGAGATTGACTCTTTCCTTTTCCTACCCTTAAAGGGCTCACTTATTCAGAATATTTGGCTCACCAATATCCCGTGCCTGGGAGGTGTTAGAACACTCTGACCCTTGAACCTTGATGGCAAGCAGGTGTGAACAATTAAGGATGCCCATAAGGGCTGGGTAAGAATGGTGGGAATGCCTCGGGGATTATTGTTAGCTTTCACTATTTAAATTGGACCCTCAGAATAATAAACGGATCAGTCTTTCACTGACCCGCCTGGCCCACATTTCTTCATTTCACACTCCTCTGTTTGATGCAACACTTAGTCGTGGATGACAACCAGAGTGAGTACATGTTTATCTCAGACACTTACTAGCTGTGTAACTCTAGGAAATCATTTAATGTGTTTGCCTCAGTTTTCCCAACTGTAAAATGGTGATAATAATAGCACCTATCTCCCTGGATTTTTATGAGGATCAAATGAAATAATATTTATAATGCACTTAGCACAGTGGCTGATACATGGTAGTTGATTAATAAATGCTTATTTACTTCTTTCCTTCTATACTTTCTCATTTGGTGACTTAATCAGCTCCCATGGGTTCAATGATCAACTGTGCAGTTGTTTCTCAAATCTTTGTGTCTAGCCCTAGTTTCTCTCCTGAGTTCCAGTCCAGGATCACCTGTTGAACACATAGAAATTAATGTCGTGTAGGAATTTTTAACTCAGTGCACCCAAAACAGAACTCATTATATTCTAATGCACCATTCCCCCAACCCATTCCTCTTCTAAACTTTCCTACTACGGTGAAGGGTGCCGCCATCAGCTTTGTTCTCACTCTCAGTCTCCACACATATCCAATCAGTTGCCAAATCTTGTTTTTACCTTTATGTCTTTCATATATCCTCTCTCTATTTACACAGTTACTACTTTAATTCAGACCCTCATCATCTTTTCCCTGAACAGGAGGCAACAGCCTCCTATCCACTAGTTGTATGACCCTAGGTAGCTAGATGGCTCAGTAGATAAGAGCCCTGGCCTTGGAATTAGGAAGACTCATCTTTATAAGTTCAAGTCATGAGTCTTCCTGATTCCAAGCCCAGCATTCTATCTACTACTGTGAAGACAATGCATCCCTTGTTTCCCCAGATCTCATGCTTTGGCTGGAACCATGACCTGAGCCAACCTTGCTGACTCCTTTTCAATCGGCAATTAGATTGTGAGTGGTTTACCATCAAGAGAAGTAAATTAATCACCTTCCTTTTCCTTAAATTCCTGGGGTTTGGGGAGAGAAGGGATTCACTTAACTCTCTTTTCCGGTCAGTTAGGGACAGAGACTATAGCATAGGGGTCCTTGAGCAGGGCACAGTACAAGCTCCCAAGTATTATGACAGTTTGGAGAGTATGTCAAAGTTTGTACTGGAGAGGTGGGAGTCATTTCTGTGTCTTTTTTGGGCTGATGGGCTGAAGGAAGCCTTAGAGGAGGGCATCCTTATATCCTGGTGTAGTAGCCTTGAACATAAATGAAAAATTATTTCTTACCAATTTTATTATTTTTCTATTTCATTTTGTTAATATGGTAAAAAAAATTTCCTTTTTTTTTTTTAATTAGAAATGTATAGCACCCCAGTGATGGATCCTTCTGAGGCAGTCCCTTTTATGGAATAAATAGGCTTGAGAAGGGAACCTAACTTCCATTTATAACTTGATTTCTTGTGAAGTGATTGAGGGGTGTGGAATATATCCTTATTTCAAAACAAATAACTTAAATACACTTTTGGAACATAACTAGTTCCTAAGTTGGGAACACCCTGAATGTCCAGGGAATGTACTTGATGGAATTTGTCCCAAAAGATTGGTACTAGGTAGAAGAATTTTGAAAACTTTCTAGAGTGCATCTTTGAGCATAGCTATGCCTCTTTACCCCCAGGGTTCAGAAGCCATTCCAAGACGAAAACTATCTATTGGTGGATGGCTTTAGTCCAATATGGGCCTCTGCTTGTCCACTTCAAGGAATTAAAGACACAGTAAAATGGGTTACCTTGTTTCTCAGGGCAGGGTCTGCTCCTGCTTCCAGGAGCAAGGCGACTGCTCTGATATTACCGCTGAGCACTGCAGCATGAAGAGCTGTTGTTCCATTCTAGGAGGAAAATTGTGGTGTTAGTAGCAACCATAGAGGGGATCAAATCATTCAAATAATTTAGGCATTGATTATAAAAACAGCTCGAAGAACGAGATTGTCAGGACACTAACAGCAGTCTTATTTTTCCTATACTTCCCTGTCTTCCTTTTAGAGCTTTTCTGATGCCTATGGCCTACTTCCTTGCCTTATATATGGGAACTATTCAGTAAATGCTGACAGGCAGAGATTGAAAAACTATGAAAAGCCTACACGAGAACTGAAAAACACAGGCATCTGGAGACATTTAGTTTAGGGGAAATAGCCCTTCATAACTTTGTAGCTCCTGAGCACAGTACAATATAGTATCCCAAGTATCTGGTATTTATAATGATGATACCAAGCCATCAAGAAAAGGTTTCATTACATTTAGTATGCTTTAAGATGACAAGGAAAGTGTATGATAACTTAAAAAAAATTCCATGCAAAATGTACTAATCTTTAATGAAGCCCTTAGCATGTAACACAGCTCATTCAGAGACACAAAATTTTAATAACAGCAGCAATAATAGCTTGTTGTTGAGTCATTTCAGTTGTGTTTGACTTTTCCTGATGTCTTTTGGGGTTTTCTTGGCAAAGATACTGGAGTGGTTTGCAATTTCTTTTCCAGCTCATTTTATAGATGAGAATACTGAGGCAAACAGGGTTAAGTGACTTGCCCAGGGTCACACAGCTAGTAAGTGTCTGAGGCTAGATTTGAACTCATGAAGATAGTCTTCCTAATTCCAAGCCTAGTGCTCTATCCACTGCACCACCTAGCTGCCCTATAATAATAATAATAATAATAATGATAATAATAGCTTCTGGCATTTATATAGTGCTTTAGGATTTGCAAAGCACCTTAAAAATATTCTTCATTTGATCTTTGTATAAACTGTGTGAGGTAGGTGCCCCATTTTGCAGATGAAAACTGAGGCTGAGAGACTCCTTGCCTAGGGTCAAACAGCTAGTCAATATCTGAGGCAGGAATTGAACTCAGGTCTTCCTCATTGCAAGGCCAGCTCTTTATACACTGCTCCACCTAGATGTTTTACTGTTCTGTCTGCCTCCTTTGGCTATGGAGGACAACCATAGATAACACTTTTTTTACTTCAGATGATGAAAATGGAGGAGAAAATGTTTATAAGGATATATCTGCCTTTCTGGAGAAGATTCATAAGCAACTGGGATTATCAGCAATGTGATTGGCTTCTTAATGAAACGGTTTGATTTCTAATCCTTAATAGTTTGGGGTTTGTCTTTAGGGGATTTGGATGGTTGCTTTGTCTTTTTTCTGGAAAACATGGTATTAGAACTCCCTGGTCAATTCTTCCCTTCCCCTTCTCTCTCTCTTCTTTATGTTTATGCTGTCTTTATGTCTGCCCACATCCAAAAAGGTGTTTGTGCTAGGGAGTAAAAAAAAAAGGTCTACCAATGTATAGTTATGCCAAATGTAGACTTCTGCCATTCTAACCTCCTTTGGTTTTGCAGATGACCTAACTTCCTTTTCAGATCTTACCTTTAAAAGGCCAAGGGTGGGAGAGAACTTGAGCAGTTCCTCGATGACATTGTTGTACCCCTTGTTGGCAGCTTTCAATAATGCCGTTGTACCATCCTTAAGGGGGCGGGAGAGAGGTAGACAAAGGCCGGTTATGAGAGGAGTAGTGCATTAGCTCATTGCTGGATGATAGGAGAATACAGAATGTGTCAGCATTACCCTAGCAATCAGGGAACGGTTTTTGGTAGGCAAGTTGTGTAGACTTAAAATGTCCATCCTAGACAATCTCCCAACAGATAGCCATCATTAAGCACATTAAATACTGTTGATCTCTGACAGAATTGTAGGAGGATGAAATAGATTCCCGCATCATATTCTTTAGAGACGGGACCTTGCCTTTGGGAAATTGATGCTGCTTCAGTCTGAGGATAGAGAGACCAGCAGGGCAAGGAGGCCCCCAAGTGACATTCTTTCCAATCAGTCATTCAGTTAACAGATCAGTCAACATAGATATGTTGAATGAACTCTGTTGAATTTCATACTAACTCTGAAATACATTTCTAAGCCTATGGTTTTTTTTCATTATGTACTCAGCAAAATTTTCAAGAAACACAAATAGATAATTAAAATGTGGAATAAATTTCCAGATAAAACTTCAAATTCCTATTTGCATTTTGACTGGGAAAAATTGTATGATTTACATTTTAGCAAATAATATTTGTTCTGTATCTCCTTCCAAATCTATCCATGTATTGATAAAATGTTGTTGTCTTTGTTTATAATATGATTCATCATTAGTGTATCATTCTTATTCTGCCAACCTTGCCTGACATCACTTTATGGAAATCCTTCCATATTGCCTTACATTCTTCATATTTATCATTTCATGACATTATTAAATTATATGAATATGCTATAGGCATTGCTTAATCGTGGAAGCGGTTTCCAATTTTTTTTTTTGTTTACAGAATCACTGAACCTCAGAGGTGCAAGAGACCTCAATGGTCACTTAATCCAATGCCTGAACAAAAATCTCTTTTACCACATCCTTTATTTGTCTGAAGGCCTTCAGTGTCTATTTCCTACTATTTTCCAGTCATCCCATTCTACTTTGGAATAACTAAGCTTAAAATTCGCTCCTCTGTAACTTTCATCTTTTGCTCATAGTTCCTCCCTCTTGAACCACAGTAAAAAAAATTGCTTTTTCATGCAACAGTCCTCAAATTACCCAAAGATAGCTATTATTTCCTGCAATTCAATAAAAAGTCAAAATAATAACAATAACATATAGAATAATTTATAGATATATTAATATATTATATATTCAACATATAGAAATATGATAATATATTTGTTGTATGATAATTTATAGATCATATGTTAATGTTACATGAATATGTTTATGTTACGTGTGTTGCATATAATTATATATAAATAGCTTATATAATAATTTGTGTTGCACTTGAAGATGGGCAAAGTACATTACATATGCCATCTCATTTAATAAGCACCTTCTATGTATGAGGCAATATCAGGGTGCTGGTGATACAAAAACAAAATAGAAAAACAGCCTCTGCCCTCAAAGAGCATACATTCCATTGGGAAGACACAGCACATGTACACATATGTAACCTTCTCTGGACTGAGTGGGGGGGTGCCCTTGGGCTCCCTGGAGTTCTGCATTTTTCTACCATTTCTAGGCACCAGAGAAAAGAAGGAAACACGGAGGTGAATTGCTTAGGATATTTAGCATAAACACTTGTTCTGTTGTTACAGTATAAGATGAACACTTATTTTTATTTTTTAAAAGAAATCAGGGTTAAGTGACTTGCCCAGGGTCACACAGCTAGGCAGTACCTGAAGCCAGATTTGAACTCAGGTCCTCCTGACTCCAGGGACAGTGCTCTATCTATCATACCACTGAGCTGCCCCTAAGATGAACGTTTAAAAAGAGCCACAGAGGGCAGTCAGGTGGTGCAGTAGATAGAGCACTGGTCCTGGAGTCAGGGGGACCTGAGTTCAAATCTGAGCATAAACACAATAACATTCACTAGTTGTGTGACTCTGGGCAAGTCACTTAACCCCAGTAGCCTCACACACACATGAAAAAAGAGCCATAGTGTTTTACAGAAAGGACCAGAGGAGGAAACTTGAAAAACAGTATAGAGATCTGTGGGAAAAAGATGCCAAGATATTATAGGCTCTCTGGGAGGTTTTGTTAAACTGACAACTGAAATACCTTGAAGAGTCCATGAAAACAGTGAGTGACAGTTGAAAAGGTAGCAAAGGGAAGTCTTTACAGGTCTGGTACGACAGTGGGAAGTAGATGTGATGACCAGAGGCGGGAGACAGAGGATACCCTGTACCCTTTACTTTGGGGACCAGAATGCCTAGAGTGGGGATTCCCGACCAGGACAGTCTGTGGGTGTGTCTGGGAAGACACATCAGGTGAAGAAAGGTGGGTTGGAGGCTCAACTGATTTCAGGCATCAACCAGAGCAGCAGATTGCCTGTGCGAAGTTTTAAAGGTGGAACTATAAGGTTTGGTTTTGTTTTTATATTTGTTTGCATGTTGTCTCCCCCAGTAAACTCCTTGAGGTCAGGGACTGTCTTTTCACTCTTTTTTGCATCTTCCCACTTAGCAGAGTGCCTGGCACATAGTAGGTGCTTAACAAATGGTGATTGATTTAAGAAATAATCCTTTCAGGTCACTGAAGTTGAAGAAGAGAGATTAGAATCTCAATTTAAATGATATTGGCTATAAGCCAAGATATTATGGATCATGATGTGGTTAAATTATATCATTAGAGAAGACCCCAGAAAAGCAGAAAAATGGGGTTTTTCTTGCGGCAAGAGTAAGCTTTGAGTGCCATCTAGTGGTCTGATTTCATAGAGCAATTACTAGATGCCGATAGTGTGCAGAGCTGGGGTAGCTGGACCCCAGATCACCACCTAGTGTCCTACCCAGATATGAGAAAGCTACCTCTAGCCTGCCTCCCACAGCCATCAATAGGTGAAAGTCAGTCAGTCGATTGGTTTATTAAGCACCTATTTTGTGCCATGTACTGTGTTAAGCACTGAGGATACAAGTAAAAGTAAAAGACAGTCCCTGATCTCAGGTGAAGCACAGATAAAGAGAATTTAAGAAGGGGTGGCATTTGAATTACACTTTGCAGGAAGGTAGAATTCTAAGAGTAGGGTATGCATTCCAGGCACGAGGGATAGTCTATGCAAAGGCAGGTAGCTCAGAGATGAATGGCAAATTCGGGGACATCTATGTCACCCAGATTGACTGGAATGTGGTATGCATAAAAGGGAATAAGTAGAATGAGTTTGGAAAGGTAGGCTAGTGCCAGATTGCGGAAAGCTTTAAGTACCCAGCTGAGGACTTTGTATTTTATCATAGAGGCAGGAGGTAGCCACTAGAGATTTTTGATCATACTTGTGCTTTAGAAAGATTATTGTGAGCTGTGTGGAGGATGGATTGCAGGATTGATGGTCTAGAAGCCGGAAGACCAAAGAAGAGGCTATTGCTTTAGTACAGATAGGCAACGAAGGACTGAATTAGGGTGGCAGCTATATCAGTGGAGAAGAGGGATGGAGGGGAAGTGACAAAATTTGCTAACTTATTAGATATGGCGCGATGAGGGAGTGGAAAGAATCCTGGTTTCCTCCAATATTTTACCCTTGTTGACTGGAAAGATGGTGGTCTCCCCAACAGAAACAGAACATTTAGAAGAGGGATGGGCTTAGGGGGAAAAATAATGAATTCTGCTTTGGACATGTTGAGTTTGAGATGCCAACAGATATTGAGATGGAGATGCCCAGCAGGCATTTGGTGATGTGGGACTGAAGTCAGGAGAGAGATTAGGATTGGATGTATGGCTTTTGTAGCCATCTCGTTGCAGCAGACATGTACCATTCATTCTGGGTGCTTGCAGCTCTTAGAGACAAGATTTTATGATGTAAATTTCTCCTTAAAGAGTCTTTCATAATGTTAATCTGAGGGATAAGACAACAATAAAACTCCTATTCATGTCATTACTGGTCTTTTTCCATTCTAATCTCCTGAAGGGTTCAGAAACTTTCAGCAAAAGAGAAAGACGGTTCCTCTGAGTGCAAAACTTATGTCTTGCTGGTTGTTTCTTCATCTGGCTGTTCAGAGCCCAGAATAGCCCCATAAAAAACAGGCTCTGAGTGATTATACTCAAAAGGACTGCTGACAAGGGCTTCTTCCCATGTCTCGGGGGAGCTGCAGAAAGCCTGAATTACCCTGCCTAGCTATGCAATAAATTTACCCTTCTGCTAGCGCCCATGACTATTTTGGGTTTTTCTAATGGAGAACCTTCAAACTCATAAACGGTGATACAGCTACCCTGAGTGTTAAAGACAATATGATCTTAAGTGCAAGGCAGATACAATTGTTGCAGCGTCCTTGATTAAGGTAGAATTTTGCTCTGTTGAGTCAAATGCTTTCTTGTCTGTTGGTAGACAATGCACTACTAGATAAAGGCATAAGCCAAAGATTACCCACTTCATTAGGTTCCTTAAGAATTTTTCAAGTACATAAACAGCATAAACCTCTGTAGTGCCTAAATGTCACAAAAGACATAGAAATAAACAAGTTTGCCTTGTACATTTACTAAAACATTACTTGATTGTGATATCAGAGAAGAGAGTTGAGTTTTGGGAATCTGAGGTAAGGCTCATAGAAGCTATTGTTACACAGGAAATCCAGAAGAATATTTAAAAGTATGGCTCTCCAATATTCTAAGGTTTATTTCAGTGTTCAAAAAAAAACCAAACAACCAAAAACGCAAACCCAAACCCAAAAAACCCAAATCATCTTTTTATGTTGTGCTGTGTACATGGAAATGGGTTTTTTTTGTCTTTACGCATTTAAGCTGAAAATGAATCTATTTATTTAACCCTAAAAAAAGAGAAATATTTATTTATTTTTGGCTAGGCAATGGGGTTAAGTGGCACAGCTAGAAGTGTTATGTGTCTGAGGCCAGATTTGAACTCAGCTCCTCCCGAATCCAGGGCTGGTGCTCTATCCACTGAGCTATTTAGCTGCCCAAAATATGCTTTGGTTCACTTGGTAAATTTGTTGCTATGTTTTCTCTTCTTCTTTCCCCGATCTTTTTTTTTTTTTGCAAGGCAATTGAGGTTAAGTAACTTGCCCAGGGTCACACAGCTAGTAAATGTCCAGTGTCTGAGGCTGGATTTGAACTCAGGTCCCCCTGACTTCAGGGCTGGTGCGCTATCCACTGCACCACCTAGCTGCCCCTTCAAAATGAATTTTTTAAAAAATGGTTTGTCCTGCATTTACAGACAACATTACTTGTGTGTTGAGATGACAAGAATTGGCATTACTTACGTTCCTTGCAGCATCCCGATCTGCCCCCCGGAGCAACATTACTCTCACTACCTCACTGTGTCCCATCTGAGATGCTATCCACAATGGAGCTGTTCCATCCTTTAGGGAGAAAAAAGGCCAACATAGTTGTAAGTTTGCAGCAATATGGGCTCTGGCTCCTGGCTTTCAAGGGACATCAAAGCCATTTAAACTTCTGAGGATAGAAGATACTCTCTGGGGAATAATCCACAAACCATCCAGGAGGTTCAGGCCTCAAATGGTCTAAGAATAAAGAAGCATCTTGACCTGAATTTTCCTGACTCTTGGCCTTTCTCTACCATGCCCCACCTTGAACTCCTCAGCCCCTAACTTCCTTTTATTTGCTGTCTTCTCCTATTAGAATATAAGCTCCTTTAGAGCAAGGTACTGTGTTTCTGTTTCTATTTGTGTTTCTTGGGCTTAGCACAGCACTTGATATTTAGTAATTAATGAATAAATGCTTGTTGATTCGGCTTGACTATAGATCGTCCTCCCCCCGCCCCCCTTTAGGTCCTGGGATCATAGATCTACAGCAAAGGGATCTCAGAGATCATCTATCAATCCTCTCACCGTTCAGAAGAAAAAATGGAAGCTGATTTTCCCCAGGTCACTGGCATAACATGGTGAGGGATTTGAACCCAGATCTTCTAATCCCAGAGCCAGAGTTCTTTACATTTGACCACGTAATTTACTTAATGTGTATAATTTGCCTATGAAAGCTCTACCACAGGCTGGGTTTTCATAGAGCAGGAAAATGTGTTCTCACTTTCCCACTCTCCCAAAGCTAGGGCATGGGGAAGGGGTTTCCTTTTTCCATAGATAAATCAGGTTTGCCCATTTGTGTTAGGGAATGTGCCCCTTGTTAGGTCTTAAAGGTGGGTGCCAGGGACTAATTTTCATGTTAGGGCTTGAGCCAGCTTGGCAAAAAATTTTCATCTAACGTAGAGTTACTTGGATAATGGGTGGACATTTGCCCTGTGGCTGTCCTAATCCTGTTCCAGAGGGACAAGGCAACCTCTGACTGGGATAATGTTTTTTACAATCCGAATAAGTCATTAGAGGGGAGCAGCAACCTCTGAATGGAAACACTGGCTGGTTGATGATCAGCTATGCTAATTTGTCATAATATATAGCAGCTTTAGTTGGGTTCATGCCTGGGCGTGTGCATGCACGTGTGCACACACACACACACACACACACACATACACACACACTAATATTTGTTGTTGTTCAGTCATTTCCAACTCTTCATGACCCCATTTGGGGTTTTCTTGGCAAAGATACTGGAATGGTTTTCCCTTTCCTTCTCCAGCTCATTTTACAGATGAGGAAACTGAGGCAAACAAGGTTAAGTGACTTGCCCAGGGTCACACAGCTAGTAAGTGTCTGAGGACAGATTTGGACTCAGGGAGATGAGTCTTCTTGATTCAAGAAGCCCAGTGTTTTATCCACTGTGCCACCTCACTCACATACTTTAGTTTTTAACCATCAGCTTCTGATTCCTAATGGAAGATTTTACTATAGCCAACACTATGATATGCCCATAGTAACTGTGGTTATTTCAGACTTGTGATTTCATCAGTTTAGAGAATTTCTGGTAAGAAAATTCCCTCTACTAGATGCTAGGTGACCACCCATAGAGCCCTAGGCCTAGAGTCAGTGAGACCTGAGTTCAAATCTGGCCAGTTACCAGCTGTGTGTTCCGGGCAAGTCACTTAAACACCATTTGCCTTAGCTTCCTCAGCCATAAAATGGAGATAATAACAGCACCTACATCCCCTGGTTATGAGGATCAAATGAGCTAATATTTGTATGGCACTTATTGCTTAATAAATGCATGTTCCTTTCCTCCTTCTCTATCAATTCAGACCGGTAGCTGTTCTGCAGCTTTTCTAGTCTTGGAGAGTTGTCTGGTACACTGAGAGGTTAAGAGACTTGGTTAGGGTCACACAGCTAGAATGTGGCAAAGGTAGAATCTGAACCTGGACCATCCTTACTCTGAAATCAACTTTCCATCCACTACGCCAGAGGTATCAGACATGGACTCACAGGCCCTGCCGCAATACTCCCCAGGGCCTTAATTCAGATGGAAACATAATTGGGAAACAGTTAACATAAAAAGTAAAAATATAATAAAACATAGATAACATTTAAATCTAAGCTGATGTGCAGCCTGAAGAGATTCTTATGTATGGATTAGTGATCCCCACTTCTAATTTGAATTTGCCACCATTACACTATATTAATTTCCTCTATAGTTAACCTTCATAAAGTAATGTCCCCTAGAAAAGCTCCTTATAATGTCAGCATTGCCCAAGTCACTCAGCTAATGAATTTTTTTGTTTGTTTGTTTTCTTTGCTGGGCAATGAGGTTAAGTGCCCAGGGTCACACAGCTAGTAAGTGGTCAAGTGTCTGAGGTCACATTTGAACTCAAGTCCTTCCTGACCCTGGGATTGGTGCTCTATCCACTGCACCACCTAGCTGCCCCTTAGTTAATAAATTTTTTAAGTTGCTGCAAGAAACTTGAGCTCCTTCAAACCTTGGAAACAAGACAGCTGCCCCCCCCCATATTAATATAATTAAAAACAGCTTCTGTTTACATAGCACTATATAAATATTTTCACATATACTGTCTCATTTGCCATAGCCGTGGCAAGTAGACAGCACAGGTATCCCTATCTTGCAGATGAGAAGACTGGGGTCTAGTTTATTCAGAGATCTGTCCAAGGTCACACAACTTCTTACTGGCAGGGCAAAGTCTAGGACTCAGGTCCTCCAACTCCTGGTCTGAGGCTTGGTCTATGACGACATGCTTCCTCTTAATTAAAAGAACGGATTCGTACATTTTGCTTGCAAATACAAAGATGGTGCCAACACACTGGAAACTTAGATGACAGGGCTTAAGTGGGACCAGAACAAGGATTTTGTTAGTGTGGCAGAGAGTACTAGCTTAATCCCGTAGGAAAGAAATCTTGCCCCTTTGGATCCTTCTACGGAAAGTCACAAGGAAAGATGAGTACTTACAGAACCCCAAGCAGTCTCTAAACAATTATTACACACACACACACACACACACACACACACACACACACACACACACACACCACACACACACACACACACACACACATCCCCTTTCCTTTTTTTCTGTGTGGTTAGGGCCACTGTAGGATCTTGGAATTCTTAATAATAGACAAGATCTACATAGTATTATAAAGTTTGCAAAAGGTTTTATGTATATTATCTAATTTCAAGGTCACAACAATCCTGTGAGGTAGGTATGATTATTATCCCCATTTTACAGATGGGAACACTGAGGCCAAGAGAGGTTAAATGACTTCCCCAGAGTCACACAGCTTGGAAATGTCTAAAATTGGATTTGAATTCACCAAGTTCAGTGTTCTATGTACTCTGCCACATTCTCTCAAGTTCTTGTTGGAGAAGCAGTGGCTATCTTGGGAACAAAGATAATTTGTCATTGGTCTAAATCCCAAGAGAAATATTTGAAACCAGAGAGTTCTAATCGGACAGTGTTTTATTAAATTAGATGGAGAAGTGGGGTGTCATTTAATTATTTGTTTCAGAAGCCCATCACACTCTTTGCTTTATTTGTTCAATTAATTCTGGATGAATTTTACTTGGCACAAGATGTTTTGTTGTTTGGGAGGGACAGTATATCAAATTAGCTAGCCAAAATGTTGGTAGGGATTAGTTAATCTGGTGAACTCACTGCCACCCAGTGTCATATAGTTTTAGGATAGGAACCTAAAGGTACAGGACACAAGATAAATACTTTTGACAGGGGGCAGTAGGTGAGTAATTTAGGGACTGAAAGATGCCCCAGTGAGAGATCTTGGGTAGATAGAAAGAGGTCACTGAGAATTATTGACAGAGGAAGTCAAAAGGGTCCTGAAAGGAGGGGCAAAAATATATCAAAATCAAATATCATCTATTTCATAATTTTGCCTAGAACTGGCTTGCCTTCTCAGACCTAAGTTACTGCATGAAATCAAGTTTTGTTTTTTGAGGGCCACAGCTGCATCAAATATTGCTGACTGCCATTTTTCATGGTCCATTTTCCATTACCTGGCCTGTTATTATCTAGGCTTTTCAGTGCCTCATACAGATCCTAAGATTTGCTGCCTCCTTTTCTTTAGACATGTTGTTCTCTTGGCCTCAAATGTCACTGCTACTGTGCCCACAATATATGTCTATTTAAATCCTATTCATTTTCAAGACCCAGTTCAAATACCACCTACTCCCCGAAGCCTTTCCTGAATCCAAATAATTATACTATTATCCAGTCTAACTTCATCTTATCCACAAGCATAGCTTTTTGAAATCTGGATACACCTATATATGCAGCACTTTCTTCATCTACCAGTCCAGGAACACTGTCAAAAAACAAAGTTATGTTAACCTGCATGATTTATTCCTAGTAAATCTCTGCTGGGAATCACTACTTCTCTTTCAGGGTGTTCAAATACTATTGATTTCATAGGAACATAGGATTTAGAGCCAGAAGAGACCTCAGGTCATCTTGCCCAGTGGTGTCAAACTTAAATAGAGAGAGATCCCTGAGGGTTGCCTACTGACTTAGAAAACCACAAATTAACATTATCTATATTGAATGGTATTTTTGTTTATTTTATTAAACATTTCCCAATTAGATTTGAACCCAGTTCAGGCCTTAATTTGGGAGTGTTTTCAGAAGCTTGCAGCCTGTAGGTTGAGTACTTGATATCTCTGTGTCAAATAAATGACAACTAGGTTCTAGTTCAACCTCCCTTATTTTACAGATGAAGAAATTAGACCTCACGAAGTTAAACGAGCTGCTTGAGGTCACAGGGATAGCAAGGATTAAGTAGCAGAGTTGGGATTTAAACCTGAGTTGACCTCCGACTCAAAATCCATTGGTCTTTTTACTTTTCCATTCTCTCTCTCTCTGTCTCTCTTTCTCTCTCTCCACCCCTGTCTCCCTCCTTCTCTCCCCCTCCTCCTCCTCTTCCTCCTTTCCTCCCTCCTTCTTTTTCTTTGTCTCTCTCTCCCTCCTCCTCCTCTCTCTCTTCTCCTCCTCTTCCCTTCCTCCCTCCTTTGTCTATCAGTCTCTTTTCTCTCTCTGTCTCTCCTTTCCATCTCTCTCTCTCATATAAATAGCAAAGCCAAGGTTAGGACTCAGATCCTCTGATTATAAATCCAGGTTTCTTCCCCTGGCAACATGCAGCTTCCATTTAATAATCTGTACTATATGTTTTTCAGCAAATATTAATTGAACATTTGACTATATCCCAGGCATTGGGTTTTATTTTGCCTGGTATCAATGTTGAGCTTTCCAAACTATAGTCTGTAGCACCTCCCTTCTTTCCCAACTATGACACCAAGTTCTCATCTCCAATTCTCCCTTCTTCCTCAAAGATTACTGATCGTGGTACAATGGTCTCAGCTGCAAGTTACTTTGGGGCAGGGGTAAGGAACCTGCTGCTTCAAGGTCATTATTTGGGGCGTTTTGACTGAGTCCACGTTTTACAGAACAAATCCTTTTATGAAGGGGATTTGTTCTGTGAAGTTTGGAATCAGTCAAAGGGCCAAACTTGAGGACCTAGAGGTCTTCCTATGGTATTGAGGCTGCAAGGTTCCTCACCTCAGGTGTAATTCACATAGGCCAAGAAATTTAAACTTCTTTGGAACAGGTGTTCTTGGGGTCTGTGAATTTGTTTTTTTCTTAAATATTTTAATAACCTTATTTCATTATAATTGGCTTCCTTTATAATCCTATGTAGTTTATTTTTAAACATTTTTATGTGTTTTAAAAACATTATTTGGAGAAGGCATCCATAGACTTCACCATATTGCCAAGAGGATCCATGACACTAAAAGGGTTAACAACTTGGTTCAGAAGTTCTAGGTGCTTTCTTACACCTATCTCCATTCAATTCCCTCTCTTTTTGAAGAACAGATTTATTGCAAACTTTAATGAAATATCAATATATTAAATTAAACTTGCTTAGTAACCATTTACATTTAAAGGAATTTCAATGTATAAAATATTATAACTTTTCAGTCACTCCCTTTAAGAATTTAAAGAATTGGGTTTCTTTACTTTTCCTTTTATGCCATGACAATTAGTGTGGGTTATGTCTTTATGGTTTTGCTTCTTTGACTTTGCATTAAATCATTAAGTTCCTTACTTATTTTTTATTTTTCATAATTGTTCATCTTAATTGCATTAATGTTCTATGATTTATTTAAATGTTTAGGCTGTTTTTAGGTTGTTTTTTTTTATTTTGCCATTTTAAACACTGCTATAAAAATCTTTGAAGAATTCCCCTTCCCCCCCACATCTTTTTGATAACTTTTGAGATTTATTCCTAATGATGGAAATCGTAGGAGTCAATGGATATGATTTTTAAATTACTTCTGTGTAACACTTCCGTGTTCAATATTACTTTCCCAAAAAATTCTACTATTTTATAATTCTTCCAGCAAAGAATAAGCCTTTTAGCTTATGACACTGTAGCACTGAATTTCATTGCTTTTCATTATTTTTGCCAATTCAATGAGTGTGAGCTGCTGCCTCAATTTCCTCTTAATGTAATTTGTTCTACTTTTTCATGGCTGAACATCCCTGGCAGAAAAAGCAGGGGGAGCCTTCAGAATCCTAAAACAAGCTCTGTCTTTTAGCTGAAGGGTTGGGCTGGGTGAAGGCCACCTGAATCGGCCTGTGTTTATTCAGGTCCGTGGCCTAACATTACCTCACAGTGGCCTCCATTTATTTGAACAGGAGGTGACAGAGTGCACACTCCACCTTCAGACACCAAACACCTGAGCTGTTTTAAAGTATTGAACTGTGAAGTTAGCTGGATTTCAGAGGGCACATGGTCAGCACAAAGCAAACAGGGCAAGCAAAGGTAGAGTCAACCATTAACTTGAACTCTTAAAGACAGAAGGCTGACTCAGGCATGTGGTTTCCCAGCACTGCCCTGGGCTTCCTTACAATGCTGTTGAATGAATGTGGCCAATTCAAGAACTAGGGATGAACATTACCTGCCTTGGTTGGTTGACTTTTGCTCCTGAAGATAACAATAATCTAATCACATCCAAGTAACCCCCCTGGGCTGCGAGGAAGAGTGCAGTGGCTCCGTCCTGGAAAACACCGAATGGAGGGGAAAAATGAACTGCCATTCAAAGGTACTTTAAAAGAAACTAGATTTGGAAAAAATGTACAAAACTGGCAGAATTTAAAGGGTTTTTTTTGTAAGTTTAAAACAAAACCTCTGGAAAAAAATATGTGTAGGGAACAACAGGGAGAAACTCTTTTTACTAGTGCATCTCCACACACTTTTCTTCCACCTATATTCTTTTTTTTTTAATTCTATTTTCTCTCCTGCCTACCTCTTTCTCTCTTCCCCCATTGAGAAAGCAAGAAAAAACAAAACCAACACAAAATGCATAGTTAAGTAAAACAAATGACCACCTTGGCCACACTGGAAAAAAACCCAACCCAATCTATTCCCCAGTCCACACTGAATCCATCATGTCTCTGTCTGAAGGTGAGCAGTTTGCTTATCGTGAATCTGCTGGAATTGTGCTGCCTCTTTTCTTAGGAAGTCACCCGGAGTACTGGGAGATGAAGTCACTTATCTTGGGTCACATAGCCAGCATGTGTCAGAGGCATGACTTAAACCCAGATCTTTCTGACTCTGAGGTCAACTCTTCATTTGCTATACCAGGATGCTTCTTGGGATTAAACTCAGGAATGTGAAGAAAGTGTTTCGTGCAACTCAGCAGTCCTGTCATTTCTATTTCTTAGATCCTTGTTATTGTTGCTCAGTTGTGTCCAACTCTTCATAATACCATTTGGGGTTTTCTTGGCAAAGATACGTGAATAGTTGGCCATTTCCTTCTCCAGCTTATTTTACAGATGAGTAAACTGAAGCAAACAGGGTTAAGTGATTTGCCCAGGGTCACACAGGTAGTAAATAAGTGTCTGAGGCCTGATTTGAACTCAGGTGTTCCTGACTCCAGGCCAGACAGCACTCTATCTATGGTGTCACCTGGCTGCCCCTACTTCATAATAATAATAGTCCAAGGGTCCGGGGTTGGGGGAGTCTTTTCAGCCTTTTGTGGTCTGGTATGGTTAAATATTGCTACAAATATCTTTTTTGTGGGTTTTAATGAATGGAGCAAGATTTCCAATTAGATTTTTTTTTCCCATTTGTCTTTCTACCCCTGGTGCTAAAGGATGAATGTGATGCCTTTGAAATAATTGCTCATCTAAGATGTATTTGAAGTCTCTCCTGAATGGAGCATACCCATCCTATAGACATCTACTACCTATGAACTCAATTAAGCAATATTATCTACAAAAACAGAACATGTGCTTATTCTATTTCCATTTTATTATCATTTGTAATTGGATGTATGTAGCGTTGGGGCATTTTTTGCATCTTTGATCAAGGCTGGTGAAATGTTATGTTATATCTAGTGGACAACATGATTCACTTGATTACAGGTACTTTGTTTCCTTCTTCTCCAGGTACATCTGATGAGAGTGAGCTTTGTTATTTTAGACCACAGTGGAAAATCCTAGCTGGTTCTTGCCAGGGCAAACACTGGTGGAAAAGACAAGCCAATCTGGCCAATGATGGTGCCTCAGGTTAGGAAAGAAGTCACTAGTGTACACCAATAAATACCAAGCACCCTTCTTTGCTAGCCTCAGCCAGGTGCCTCATGCAGAGGGTACTATTGTGTTTCCAAAGGGTGTCAGCTGAGTTGGCAGTCTTTGGGCAATACTCGACATGGAATTTAAAAAATTAATTTAACAGATTGCACAGATTTTTTTTTTAAAGCAGATGCTTCATGGGAGAGCAAAGACTTCAGAGGCTGATTTGTGCTTTTCTCTAAGCTGGCTTGCATGCCACCAACAGCTGTTCATTCTCTGACAATTCTCTAAGAAGTGCTTTCCATACCCCATTGTTTTCTACCATGTGTGGCCCTTTCAGTTCACAGAAAGTCTAGGGTCTCCATGACCTTTCTTTCTCTACACTTTAACTACTTTGGATGCTTTTACTAGACCATCTGGCCAAGGGTCATAGGAGGGGCAGGGCCATAAAGTAAATGGAAGATGTGATGGCACTGATATCACTGTTGGGCATGGAGTTTCTTGAGTCATCTTAAACACTAACTACCTTGTGCACTATTGTGAAGATTAGTGAGATAATAGGCATGAAGCACTATGGGAATGTGAGGTCTGAGCTTTAACAAATAAGCTCCCAAACACCTCTTTTTCTCTAATAATAGGTGTCGTTGTACACGTGTGTGTGTGTGTGTGTGTGTGTGTGTGTGTGTGTGTGTGAGGGCAACTTAAGGTGTTGCCCTGGATAGAGCACTAGGCTCAGAATCAGGAAGACTCATCTTCCTGAGTTCAAATCCAGCCTCAGACACTTACTAGATGGGTAACTGTGGGCAAGTCATTTAACTCTGCCTCAGCTCCCCATCTGTAAAAATGGATTGGAGAAGGAAATAGCAAAACATTCCAGTACCCTTGCCAAGAAAACCCCCAAAGGGGGTCACAAGGAGATGAACATGACTGAAACATCACAACAACAAAATATATGGATATATTTATTATGTTTTTATATGTATATTTATATGAAACATATATATGTATATATGTACATGTATATGCATGTTATGAGAACCAGATGAAAAAATGTATGTAAAATGCTTTGCAAAACCTTAAGTGCTGTATAAATGAAGGTTGTTATTACTATCTTTAGTGTGGCACTAATGCCAAAATCATGACCATAGGCCTTGCCTGAAAGGGGGCAGAAGCAGCACACGTGACCTCGGCCTTTGAAATGCCCCCCACTAACTGGCGCTGCAAAGTCATCAGAATCTTCAGGCCCTCCATCAATGCCTTAGTCATTCCATCTGTGTTCATAGAGTGTCCATGATACTGTGATAGGTGTACATGGGGGCAGATGAGGGTGGGAATAATATTAAAGAACCCTTTAATATATCAACCCTTATGTAACCTATAATTTTTAAGGTGTCCCAAGGTGGAAGTAAAATGTGATCAAATGAAAAAAATTCATATCTAACTAATACATCTTCCCCCATATATACACAGGAAAACTGAATGTAAAGCAAGAGGTCTGGTTGCAGGATAACATAACATCCAGGGCATAAATGGCTGAAACCAGCAGTTGAAGGGTTAATTTTGATTTCTCCACTCATTTCCCAAGAGACCCTGGGTAAGTCACTTGCTTGTGTTGTAGCTGTAGGACATTTTAACTTTCAAAAAATACTTCATTTCAAAAATATACTTTAATTTTTATTTTAAAATTTAATCTAAAAATACTTTCACTTTTAATTTTAAAAAATTACATAGCCCACCTATAATTTTTTTGTTGTGGTTGGAGGAATCTTTTTCTAACTACCATAATTAAATTATTAATTTTCTCATGCGACCACCTACAAAATAGAATCATAGTTATACTATACTCTGTAGTTTGCTACTATGATTAATCAATGAGTAAAGCCCTTGGGTAATGGTCTAATTGCTAATTGGCAGAAAGCTGTCCACCCTAGCAGCAGATGCATTTCAAAGGCAACTCTGGGCTGCCTTTGCTTCAGCTACATCTCCTTCCCCTGATTCTGTTTTTCTCCCAGAGAGCAGCTTAGCTACTCTTCTTGTCTATTATATTTTAAGTTCTTTGAAAGTAGGATATTTTAATTTTTCTTTACATTACATCTCTGGGTCATCACTGCAGGGCCTTGGACAGGGTAGATGCTTTATGTTTGCTGAAAAGAACTGTCCCATGTCACAGGCATGTAAAGAAAACATTCAGTTTCATTCTTCATCAGTTCCATATGCTATGTTGGGTGGGCTGTCATGTAATGAAGATGTATTGCATGGTGGGCTGTAGGATCTGCCATTTTATGCATTAAGTGAAATGACGTATGTGTAAATAGGCTCAAAATTACAGAACCAAGATCAGTACTGTTTTCCTGTAGCAAAAATTACCATCTAATTCAATTATATCACATCTCCTGACTCTGTAAACATTACCCAGTCTAAAGACTTACAGTTAATTAAAATATGGAATAAAAGCCGATTTGGGTTTTTTGTGTATGTATTTGTTTTTCAAAAGGCAATTGCTGGCAGTTGAGATAATATTGCTGAGATCATGTGTGGCAAGGGAACTGAAAACCGCACATTTAGTGTCCATTGGGAACAAACTCACATAAAGTTGATCATGAATGTTGGCTCCATACTTCAGTAAGGTCTCTACCACTCGCATGTGGCCATATTGACTGGCTGCCAACAACGCAGTGCCGCCATCCTAGAGACAAGAAGAAAGTAAATGCATTAGAGACCAGGGGCACAAACTTTTGAGAGACATATTTTTCACATGCCCAAGAGGTGAAGAAAATAATTCCCCAAAAGATAAATACTTCTACCTTCTTCTCTCATCTATTCTTTTCACTTTTTCTTGACAATAATGACATAACTTATTTATTACTGTTTTGTATGATTGGAAGCTCCAGTAGAAAGATCTACACTCTGCCTGTTTAAATAATGTAATGTCATTTAAAATTTTCTTTTGTTTGATGAGAATGGAAACTACACTGTCTCCTAAGCTAGAAAAACAAAACAAAACAAAACAAAAAGGATATATAAATACACTAGTCTGGCATTTTAAGCTTCATGCGTAATGTGATTTGAACCTTAGAATACTACCTTAGGACATAAGGAACTCTCCATTTAAAGTGTCACAGAAGTGTAGAAAAGAATAAATTTGAGTTTCTAGGAACTACTTCTTGGGTCTCCCAAGGAATTTTGAGATTTTTAGTTTATCCTTGGTGTCCTTTGGGCATTGTATTATTTATTATGCACTATATTTGCGCTTTTACACATACACTTGTACCCACCTGGAAGTGAAGGGGAAAACCATGGGTTTGCAATAGATTTTGGAAAAGAAACAAAAATCATAGAAAAATCCCTTTTTGAAGTTTATCTGACCTAGGGTTAGGCTTTTTTTTTTGAGGCAATTGGGGTTAAATGACTTGCCCAGGGTCACATAGCTAGTAAGTGACTGAGGTCAGATCTAAACTTGGGTCCTCTTGAATCTCAGGCAAGTGTTCTATCCATTGCACCACCTTGCTGCCCCGAGGGTTAGACATTTTGAGAGAGAAGAAAAAAAAAACTACCTCATTATCCAAAAATTTAAAAATGCCTAGCAATGGGGAAAACTCAAACATTCACAAGGTTTTTCCCTGGATGAGTACTCCAACTGGAGACAATTCCTAAGAATTTCTGTTTATAATTAGGTCAGAAATAAGCTGGCACAATTGTGAAACTCCCATGTCTGCCCAAGACTGTCTTCCTAATTCAGGGACAATAGCTTCATCCCATAAATCGTTTTTGACAGTAAAATTTTTTATTTTATTTTGATTCATTCTTGGTTTGATTTGTTCTTGGTTTCTTTGGCCATATGGGACAAAAGAAAAGTTAGGGATTAGGGCATAAGAATAGCCATATACCCATGGTAACTGTATGCTATGTATTAGTTAAGACATTGGCTCTTAAAGGAACCTGGAGACATTTTGTAGACAATTTATAGACATATCAAACTTCATGCCTCAGAAATATCCACATTGAAACTATTTCCCCAGGACCGCATTAAAGCTTCTGATCATTCTAGCCAGATAATGGGAGCAAACTAGAGGGAAAAAATGTAGATGTATTAGGAAACTTACAGACCTGCCATCCAAATACCAACCCTTAAAATAAAACATGACACAAAAGGAAACATTATGATTTGTAGACATAATTCTCCAACATGTGGAACCCATAATAATTGCTCTCTCACATATACCCACAAAATAAACATTTCTTTGCATTGACTTAGTATATATTTTTTATATATTGAAGTACCTGTGAACATGCTATTGTCCCCCAACAGAATGTAAGAACTTTGAGGCCAGGCACTTTCTTTTTTTTTTTTTTGGCTTCCTATCCCTAGCACCTAGTACAGTACATGGCACATAGTAAGCACTTAATACTTGACTTAAAATTCAGCCTCAGACACTTACTAGCTTGTGACCCTGGGCAAATCACTTAACCTCTGCTAGCCTCAGTTTCCTCAATGGTAAAATGGGGATTAAAGTAACACCTATCTCATAGAGTTGTTATGAGGATCAAATGAGATAATATTTATAAAGTGCTTAGCACAGTGCCTGGCTCATAGTAGGTGCTATGTAAATGATAGCTATTCTTTCTTTTTTTGGCTAGGCAATGGGGTTAAATGACTTGCCCAGGATCACACAGCAAGTAAGTGTCAAGTGTCTGAGGCCAGATTTGAACTCAGGTCCTCCTGACTCCAGGGCCAGTGCTCTATTCACTGCACTACCTAGCTGCCCTTATTGATAGCTATTCTTATCATCATTATTATTATTTGAATTGATTTTTTTGTGATTAGGACTGAATTATTGGCTTTAGAGCTAGAGAGACCTCGGAGATTGTCTGGCCCAACCCAACTGTTTTTTGGAAGGAGTTTAAGTTCAGAGAGGCTAAAGGGTCTTGTCTAAGGTTGTAGCTAGTAACTGGCTAAGACAGGAAGGACTTGAACCCAGATTTTCTGAGTCTTTTAACTGTAATTCCAGGGGTCTGTGTGCCCAAAGAAGTAGCCTTGAAATACCTACTTTAAAAATATTTGAGGGAGAAAACTACACTCATTTTAGATCAAGAGGAAATACAAGGTGGCCTCAGACATTTAACACTTACCCTGGGCAAGTCATTTAACCCTGATTGCCTCACACACACAAAAAAGGAAACACAAGGCATGGGTTCTGAAATTTTTTTTGAGGCAATCAGGGTTAAATGAGTTGCCCAGGACCACACAGCTAGTAAGTGTCTGAGGCCATATTTAAATTCAGACCCTTCTGATTCAAATGACAGTGTTTTATCTACTGGGCCACCTAGCTGCCTTGGTCCTGAAATATTCTTATAGGATATGAAAGCAAAAAAAAAGTTCTCTTACCTTAGTTCTAAATTCAGTGGAAGCTCCAAATTCAAAGAGAAATCTCACCACATCGTTGTGGCCTTGTTGTGCAGCAAAGAAGAGAGCCGTTGTACCTGACTGGGAGGAAGAGAGAGGCTGGTTTAAAAGCAGGCATTTTGTTCCATTTTGGGTAAAAAAAAAGGAACTTGGGATGATAAATTTCTGAATCTAGGTTTAGAGGTAGACACATTCTTTGGATCACTGGGTAGGATAAGTAGGGCTTGGGAATTTAAATTCTATTCCACTAACGACATGATTAACTTAGGGAAGAATTCAGGCAGTCAGTGCTAGAAATGAGGAAAAGGCTATATTCATAAGAATCAGGATCCATCCTATTTTACACAGGTGAAATGCCAGAGAAAACCTGTTTTTGACTTCCACACTGCCCACAGCATGCTCAAATGTACTACCATCTCATCTCCTAGCGCCCATCTTTACCAGACTTTTTTTTGTGTCTGCATGAAAACTGGCAGCAAAATCTTTGCATACTGATCAAAAAATGCCACCCCACTCATGAACATGCATCTGACAAATGTTTTTGATTATGCAAATATGCTTAAATTCTGCTACTTGAACTCTGTAAAAGCTCTTCAAAGATCAAGAGGAAAAAACTCCTTTATGCCCTTCTGTATCCCTTAAAGGTGGAAGGAAATGATCCAGGTGGGTAGTGTCTCAGAAAAGCATGCTTTAGACATTAATTATGAATGCAAAAGAACTCTGGCTTTTAAGGGGGGAGGATATAATGAAGAGATGGGGGGCATAGCAGCAGAACTGCTGTGTTTCCTTTGTAAAATCTATGCCACATCACCAGATCATATCATTCAGTCCCAGGGATGGCTCTGTGCAAATTAGATCAAGGGTCAGAAGGGACCTCATCTAGAACACCCCCCACACTCCATTTTATAGATGAAAAAAATTGACACGAGGGGAGGAGGTTAAGTTACTTGTCTAAGGTCATAACAGGTAGTAAGCATCAGAAGTAGGGTTATGAATGCAGATTCCAGGACTAGGGATCCTTCTGCCTTTCCTTCTTTTCTGCTTATTTAAAAGGAAGGAGACTTCCTCCTTTCAACCTGTAGAAAGCCATTGGGTCCACCTCATCATTGTTTCCTGAGAGCCTGTAATCTCCCCAATAATGGAGAGAGCTGGATCCCATAAACTAAAGATAGGAAGTGGTTGTTGGAATGGCAAGCTTTTCACTGTCTTGATGTATGTGCAATGGAAGAAGATGAGCATATTTTTATGTTGGACATGCTTGAGAGTCACTTGTGCCTAGTGCAGTGTCTTCCTCATGGCTAGCACTTAACAACATTTGTTATTGAATTGGAAAGGACTAAGTTCTATATGCATTTCCCTGATATATTAATAACCATAGTCACGATTACTTCATGTCAGTTTGAGTAAATGTCCCAATGTTTAAATGAGTCGTCATTATACTAAAGCAATGATACATAGAAAAAAGAAGGCAGCCCCCACTTTAGAGAATATGAGACAAGACACAACTAATTGTATTTGCTTTTCTCTTACTGAAATAAAGGGCTTCATGCCGTCACTTTTATTTAGGTCTTCTATCTGTACTCCTCCATCAGCCAAGATTTTTGCAAGTTCTCAATAAACAGCAACTCTCTTAGGACCATTAGCTTTTAGTTTGGTATCCATACTGGGCTATGTGTCTAGACAGCCCACTAAATAAAGGGATGGCAGCAACTTATGCAGCAAAACAAATATATGACCTAGTATTACAAAATATCAAGGTTGGTACAAGACAGAATAAGATGCCAAATCACTTCAGTAACAATACCCACCAAACACTAAAATAGGTCAGGGAAAGGACTTTCCTTTGGTGATGGTAGCTTAATAGTCTCAGACTATATGATGCATTAACTTGGATTCTTGGAGAATTCAGCATCTGCATCATACCACAATGAACCATAGGGTTTCCTCCAGAATAGATACATTTTGGACAGCTCTATAAGGGTCAATGGGGGCACATGCTGAAAGCACAAAGAGGCTTTACCACTCTAAGGATTTTAATTGAATGATAAAAACTAAACAAACAGCCAAGCAGCAAACCACAGGGAAACATGCTGGCTGGAAACCAAAAGCAGGTTGCTTTTTCCTCGCCCATCCTCTTAGGTTCTTTTGAATTATTGTTAAGCGATTCCAATGCTTGTTGGAAATGCTTCTCAGGACACACTTTGTGAGTAAGTAGGTCTGGCTCATGTTCTTTTCTATTGTTCAAAGTCTATTTCTTTTCCTTTTTTAAAAATTCTTACTAACTCAAAGTCTGTTTCTTAAAAGCTCAAGTGAACAAGGACTATAAATCCAGGAGAAAAGATATATGGGAATGAACTTTTAGTCTTTCTGAATGTGAGTACCATTCAGGGAAATAGTTTTGGGAAATGAAAACTGCCCTCCTCACCACCTTGAACAGTAAGCCAGCATTGTTGTCATGCCTCCTTAATTATGGCAGAATTGGTGGTGGTAATAAAATAATTTGGGCTTTCCATAACAATACAATATAATAATTAGATATCATAGGGGTAGCTAGATGGCGTAGTGCCCCTATTGCTGGCCTTGGAGTCAGGAGGACCTGAGTTCAAATCCAGCCTCAGACACTTAACTCTTACTAGCTGTGTGACCTGGGCAAGTCACGTAACCCCATTGCCTAGACAAAAAAAGATAATTATATATCATATGAAATTATATGTACAATATATAACAATATAAATATAATTTACTACAGCCTTTGTATACTATCTCAAGCTGTGAACACTAAGATGATACCAGTCTCATTTCTCAGAGAACCATTTTATTTTTAGGTCTGTCATGATCTACACCAGTAGAATGTGACAGCTATCTATATTTCTCATTCTTTGGTGATCATATTGATAAGGCTCATGCTACTCAGAAAAGGTGAGGGGATAGCCTGGGGAAGACTATGCTAGTAAAGGATATGAAAACATTCTTTATCCTAACATTCATCCCTCATTCCAGACTTGGGCCCCCTACCTCCACACTGGATCAACTTATAACTCATGTTGACACAATGGACAGATAGCTTCAAGGGTCTTGAAAGTATAATCCAGTGTTTGAAAAGTCTTCAGGTCTTCCCCAGGCTATCCCCTCACCTTTTCAGAGTAGGAAGGCCAAGACACCAGCTAATGAAGTAGTCTGGGAGGTCTGGTGTTGATAAGTGGATGTGTTATGATGGATTCCCTAGACCTTGTTTTCAGCACAACAAATTCCTCAACTCTGGGCTTCAATGTCCCTGAGGGAAAACTATTTCCATGGACCTTGTCCTATTTGCTTGGTACCTCCGGCTGTAAACAACCTGCTCAGTTCTGCCCCTATTTTCTTCTTTTTTATTGGTTTTACTCACCTCTCTCTGAAGGTTGATATCTGCTCCTTGGAGAACCAATTCCCTCACACAGTCTATGTGGCCAGCATAGGAAGCAACCATGAGCAGAGTGGTGCCATGCTGGAAGGAGGAGAAACAAATCAGCATATTAGACCATCTGTCATATCAATGACTGAAATCTCATGGCGGGGGAAAAAAAGACTGCAGAAATCTCAGTGCTCCTGCTAAGCAGTCATGATGTTTTAGCTGCAATGGCAGACATTCATCTTGAGTCAAGTTTTTAATGTACAACGGGAGGGGTAGGGGAAGAAATGCAAACATGAACTGTAATACTTACTCTCATATCAAAATTGGGATTTTCAATTTAAAAACTCACTTACTTTTCCAGAAATACAATCTAATTTTGACCAGAAATCCAATCTAAGCAGACATAGTTATTATAGGAGGCAGCTGTGATGTGATGACCTCATTTGATGATTAATATTATGAATCTTGCTCCAAAACAGTATTATTAACCCAAAGAAGTTATCAAATAAGGCTCATTAGGTTTCCAGGGCCAGAATACCTTATTAATAATTTTATTTATTTATTATTTATTTATAAACAATTACTTTTATAAATAAATAATTAATAATAATCTTTGTTAATAATTCAGGTTGGATGAGAAGTAGGATGTAGAGAGGAATGAATATTGACCTAGGGGGCCTTAGACTGATTTAAGTCCTAGCTCTGCTGTCAACTATCTGGGTGATCCTGAGGAAATCATTGACCATTCTGAGCCTCAGTTTCCTTATTGCAAAATTAAGGGGTTGGATTAAATGCTCTCAAAGGGGCATTTTTACTTCATCAGCCCCATGACGTGAGACTATGAAATTGTGACTACAAAACAGTTCTAGCAAAAAAAAAAAAAAAGAAGATAGCTTGAATCAGATAAAACATTTGGGGGCTAGCCATTTTACTGGGATTGTTATTGTAAACAAAGCCAGTCAAGCTTTTATAAACTTTGGCATAATTCATAAACATGCACAATTCAAATTAACAACAGCTGATATATAGAATTCTAATCAAAAAGGCTTTTTATAGTCTCATTATTCTTTTGATGTTTACTTTGGCATTGGATTTGTACTTCCTAACCCTCCATGCTCAACTATTTGTGAAGTCTATCGGATTTCTAGAGTGGAAGTACAACGTTCTTCCATTCTGGCTGTGCTAGGGGGTGTGTACCAGGCTAGAACTGATTTTTTAAAATACCCATATTATTTAAATCCGGGACCAGTTTCTTCGGGGGTCGACGGGGGAGGAGTTTGTTGTTTTTTGCTACTATCATCATTCCTTTATTTCCCTGTTTTTGTCTGCAGGGTGCCAATCACAACTTTGCTTGCTGCTCATGGTAGCTGGAACGTGTTTGCCGAGGCTTTCCAGTCAGAGTTTCAGAACTATCTCTTGCCCTAAGCCATCCTATTCCATATGTGTCTGTGGGGGATGTGGGGCTGGGGCTCAGCATGTCTGTTCATTATTCAGCTCAGTTCTCTTCTGGAGCGGAGATGAGGAGAAGAGCGAAGAAGTTAGTCAAGGAGGGATACTCTTGGTACAGATAGTTTGTTCTAAAAGTGAAAGGAAGCTAATAATTTGATAGAAATTTGGCCACCAAAGCTCTGAACATTGTATCTATGTCAGGGTGACAATAAAATTAAAGGTCATTGGTTGTAGTGGGGGTAGAGGGAGAAATCTATCTCAGATTTCAGATAAGTAGACAGCAAAATATTTTAGGATTTGTCCTTTTTTTTTTTAAAGAGAAAAACATGTTCAAATCATTTTTCCAAATTAGAATAGGGAAAACAATCACTAGAGAATGAAACATTTGTATATATAATATATATATAATATATACAAGATATAACATATATATAAGATATAATCTATCTATTTAATATATGTGTATATGTATTACGTCCATATATACAAGATACAACATATATATATATAAGATATAATCTATCTATTTAATATATGTGTATATGTATTATGTCCATTAAAAGATATTTGTTGGGAAGGGCAATCTTATTAACCTACTGGCATCAATTTCCATATTAGCATAGTTTATCAGATTAACCAACTGTTACCTAGCATAGCATCCTCGGAAGGAGACACAAAAATAGACAAGTTGTGATGTACGTGTACAAATATTAATAGGTGTACATGCATACATATTTCTATATATCTATATATCTATATATTTGTATACACATATATTCTTTAATTCTATGTTGTGCCCAGTTAAGGGTAAGAGATTGAGGAGGGGGTATAAAGAGCAAGAAATAAAAGAGGCAGAAGAAGAAGGTACCTAAGGAGTAACTGTTAGTTTATGAGCTGTGACTGAAGGTTCTGTTAATAGTCAACACCTGTCAAATCACCTACAGTTTTGTTTTCTGACAGAGATGGCCTCATATAACAATGCCTAGAAGTTACATTTGTGTCTAGCATTTATTACATTATTCTGCATCTCTATTCCCTCCCTCCCTTCCCCCATTAGTTCTAGTTTTTTAAAAAAAATCTAGCTGGATCCTAGCATGTGCAATATACAATTTAATGTGCACACACAAACTCAGTGGAAAGATATTCCTTTGAGAATAATCACAAAATCTTAAGAGTTGAAGAGGACCTGAGGACACTTCTTTTTTTTGCAAGGCAATTGGGGTTAAGTGACTTGCCTGGGGTCAGACAGTTAGTAAGTGTCAAGTATCTGAGGTCAGATTTGAACTCAGGTCCTCCTGACTCTAGGATTGGTGTTCTATCCACTGTGCCACCTAGCTGCCCTGACCCAAAGATGTTTCAAGACATCATCCTATATCTTTCCTTTCCTTTTCAACCAACTGGTCTACAGAAAAAGCTGTCTACACCCATCTGCACTGCTGCTCCTTTAATTCACTTCTCATACTTTTGCAATCTGGCTTCCCAACTCAAGTGGACCTGCTTTCTCTAAAGTCCCCAACAATCTTTTATTTGCCAAACTGAACTGCCTTTTCTCAGTTCTGATATCTTTTGACCTCTTTGAAACATTGATACTCTTGATCACCCTTTCTTCCTGGATACTATCTTCTCTCTCTGTCTCTGTCTCTCTGTCTCTCTGTGTGTGTGTCTCTCTGTCTCTCTCCATCTCTCTCCATTTCTCTTTCTCTCTGTCTCTCTCTTTCTCCCCTTTAACTGTAGCTCTGTCCTGGCCTCTTTGATTACATACATTTAATGGTCATCTTTATTCAGATGATTCTCTGATTTATATATCTAGCCCTACTCTTTTTCCTGAGCTCTACTCCCCAATCACCAATTTCCTATCGGACATTTCTGAATGTCCTATAAACATCACAAAGCTCAACATACCAGCCACTCAGTCAAGAAGCATTTATTAAGCTCCTTTTATATGCCAGGCACTGTGCTAAGAGTTAGGGATACAAAGAGAGGCAAAAGTTAGTCCCAGCTCTTAAGGAGTTCACAATCTAATGTCCAAAACTGAACTTATTATCTCTCCCCACCCTGGGCCCAACTCACCCTTTTCCCAAACTTTCCAATTTTGGTCAAAATCACCACCATCCTTCTGGTCACCCAGATTTACAACCTAGGTGTCATCTTCCACCACTCACTCTAATGTCACATATTCGATCAGTTGCCATATCTTGTCATTTCTATCTCCACAACATTTCTTGCATCCATACCTTCTATGTACTTATGCAGATACCGCCCTAGGTCAGGCCCCAATCACCTTTTGCTTGGGTTATTCCAATAACTTCCTAATTAATCTCTCTGCTCCAGGTCTCTCCCCATTCCCATACATCCTACTGACAGTTCATTTTCCTAAAGTGCAGATCTGGCCATGTCATCCATCTACTTAATAAGCTCCCGTGGCTTCCTCTTAACTCTAGGAGCAGCTATGTACTCTGTTTGGCATTTAAGGCTCTTCACAATCTGGTCCCAACCTATTACACATCACTTCCTTTCATGCACACTAGAGTCCAGCCAAACTGGGCTTCTTATTGTCTGTCATACATGGCCATCCATCTCTTTTGTTGTTGTTGTTGTTGTTGTTGTTGTTGTTGAGTTATTTCAGTCTTTCCTGACTCTTCATGATCCCATTTGGAGTTTTCTTGGCAAAGATACTGGAGTGGTTTGCCATTTCCTTCTTCAGCTCATTTTACAGGTGAAGAAACTGAGGCAAACAGGGTTAAGAAACATGCCCAGAGTTGCCAGCTAGCAAGTGTCTAAGGCCAGATTTAAACTCAGGTCTTCCTGACTCTAGGCCAGGTACTATACCCTCTGCCCCACCTAGCTGCCCTTAGCTGTGCCTTTGAATAGGTTGTCCCCATCTGTGGAATGTACTCCCTCTTCATCTTCTTCTCTTACTATCTTTCATTTCCTTCAAGGAAATGCTACCTTTTATAGGAAACCTTTCTTGATCCTTTCAGCTGATAATGCCCTTTCCTCAAAATTATCTTTAATTTGTATATACCTATATATGTACACATGGCTTCCTCTGGCTAGACTGTAAGCCCCTTGAAAGCAAGGGCTTTTTGATACTTCAGACATTTTGTATCCATAGTGCTTAATATAGTGTCTGGCATACAGCAGGAGCTTAATAAATGCTTCCTAATTTATCTAGTCTATTCTCCGCACAAATAAGAATTTTCTACAGAATCCCACAAGAAGTCACCTAGCTTTTGCTTGAAGACCTCCAGGAAGGAGGAACCTGTCTTAGGGCAGTACATATCACTTTTAGATGGCTCTAATTATTAGATTTTTCTTTACATCAGGCCAAAATTTCTTTCCACTGATCCTTGTTCTTCCCTCTGGGAACAAATGTAATAAGTCTAGCCTCTCTTGCACGAGCCAACCTTCCAAATACTTGAATGCAGTTATTATACTCCTAATCCCCAAACCTCCAAGACTTTTCCAGGCTAAACACCCTAAGTTTAGTCAACTCATCTTCAATATGGCATGAATTTGAGGTTCTTCTCCATCTTGGTTACCCTCTTCTGGACACATTCCAGCTTATTGATGTCCTTCCTAAAATGTGGTGCCTAGAACTGAACACAATACTCCAGGTGTTGTGCGACCAGGGATTGCAGGGTAGGACCTTTGTCGCGGACCCTCTGCCTTAATACCATCTAGGGTTGCTTTAGCTTTCTTATTGGACTTATTACAATCAGATAATACACAAATACATCCAGACCCTTTTCAGATGAACTATCATCTAGTCACATTTCCTTTATCTTAAACTTGAGAAGTTGATTTTTTTGGCGAATGGATTGCAAATCTTCAATTGCTCTCATTAAATCTTCAGAGACTAGGCTCTGAACATATAAGCATGGTGGCCTGTTGGGGGAAGTATTATATTTCCAGATAAGCATCATCTCATACATTATAATGATGAAATTAAGCAAGAGACCAGATCCAATACAGACTATTTTCCCTACCCTTGAGCAAAACCCATCAGAAGAAACTAGATATATAGAATTTCATGAATCTAAGAAAACAAAAAATAGCTATATATTTGTGATAAGTATGTTAAGATGTGCCTAAAAATCTATATAAACCAATAATTAATGCTTTTACACATATATAACACATATATCTAAGATATATATATCTTAGCAACTCAAGTTGATAAGATTTTATAAATAGAAAAGCCTCATGTACATACTGTACAATACTGTCTATCAGAAAAGATTTGGTATGGCTATATGATTATCAAGTGGGCTCATGGAGACTTTGCATTCCAACTACTTCTAAGTGATCCTGAAAACTTGGAGTTGTTACTAGGGTCAAATAAGTTCCAGCCCAAGCGACTCGAAGAGGAGCATAACCTTATCATCTAGTAGTACTGTCTATGTTTGGGTGTAAAGAAAGAGGCAGGTGGATTAGGGTTAGACTTGAGTTGTAGCAATAGAATGTTACAGCAGCAGAGGACCTCTAAGAGCATCTAGTGTAACTCTCTTATTTAATGGATGACAATATTGAAGTCCACAGTGGTCGAATGACTTGTTCTAGATGATACCATTATTTACCAAGAAATCTCCCAAACTTCGGGTGTTGAGACAGAGAGCACAGCTCAGGCAAAATAAGTGGCCAAGAATGAAGGCCCTGATTGGGCTGTTGATTCTGAGCTTGAAATTTAAATACTGCAACAATGGCAGACAGAGAAAGAAAGAGGTAGGCTTTTAATAACCTTACAAGTTTATTAAATGTTTTAATCTTAGGTGATACCCAGCTAAGAAGAAGCAAGGGATCTTATTATGGAATGGGTCTGGGTACCACAGATTGTCAGAAGCATGCTGAATTTTCAGGATCCTTTATTTCATTTGCTTTAATATTTTGTGGAGACATTTTCAGTTGTGTCTGACTCTTTGGGACCCCATTTGGAGTTTTCTTGGTAAAGGTACTGTAGTGGTTTGCCATTTCCTTCTCCAGCTCATTTTATAGATGAGGAAACTGAGGCAAACAGGGTTAAGTGACTTTCCAGGGTCACACAGCTAGTGAGCATCTGAGGCCAGATTTGAACTCGGAAAGAAAAGTCTCCCTGATTCCAAGCTTGGCATGCTATCTACAGTGTCACCTAGCTGCCTTTTGCTTTAGTATGTGTTGCCTCTCTCTCCTGCCACTCTTCCCCCACTGTTTTATGGAATCATGGAATTTTCAAGCTAGAGGAAACCTTTAGAGATCACCTAGTCCAATCCTCTTAGAGCTGACTTAAAGGTATCATGCCCTTTTTAATAAAGGACATAATAAATATTAACATTTAATAAAATACTTTTTAATGGTATTTGTTGGGAAGGATAATATAATTAACCCACTGGCATCAATTTACATATCATCATAGTTTATTAGATTAACTAACTGTCACCTAACACAGGGAGCATCCAAAGAAAGGGAACACAAAAATAGACAAGGTGTGATGGTGTAGGTGATTGGAAAGGTCCTGATTGTGGGATGATGGCTGGGAGGGCAAGTCTGGGTGGGTGGGTATGGAAGGCACAAGACTACTGAGAAGCATGAGGAAATAAGGGGCTACTTATCCAAGGGTATCAGAGAAGGGATTGGAAAGAAGGATGGGTAGAAATGAAAAGGACAATAGGCAAAGTATGAAGTAAAGATCAGCCTCACCTACTTTACAAGTTTGTATAAGCCTAGATCTGTTGCCCAGTAACTATAAATAAAATAGGGACAGCAGAACAAGGAGGGAAAAAAAACCCATCCAGAATGACTAAAATTGGGGGGAAATTGAAACTACTCTTAAGCCAGCAAGAGAATCACTTGTCTGATAAGTGCAATTGAATCATGTAGCGACTTTTTTTTAGGAAAACAATAGTATTACTTAAAAAGAACTTTAGCTATGTTCTAAATTAATAACATCTTAATAATGCTTTCTGTTCATCTAATGTCTCTGTCACTGGATATGCACGAAAATCCTGTTGAGTATAGATGGATAGCAGCACTCGGCGGGGGGTGAGACAGCAAGCTATCTAAGTGGTATTTGTCTGTTGGGGGTAATTTCTTTTATTCCCTCTCTGAGGTAGCCAGTTAGCGCATTTATGTTTTGAAAGAAAAAAAAAGGCTAAGGGAATGGATGGAGACTTTAATTGCTCAGCTTTCTACCCCTCACACACAGCATGCAATTGATACATTTCCATGTCAATCTCTTTCTGTCTGAATTCTTTTTTTTCCTGAATTCTTTCATAGTTGCAGTTAGTTAAAACTTTTGTGTGTTCTATTTGCCTTATATTCTTAGAATTTGTTTTTGCTTATTCTCTCCTCCTCCTCTTTCCTTTTTGTGGCCCCTTTTCTCTGCTTTGCTCTTGCTATTCCCTTCCTACTTTTCTCTTAGATTTAAAATGTCTTAAAATTCTTCTATACTTGGGGCAGCTAAGTGGTGCAGTGGGATACAGCACCAGCCCTGAAGTCAGGAGGACCTGAGTTCAAATTTGACCTCAGACCAAACACTTGATACTTACTAGCTGCGTGACCCTGGGCAAGTCACTTAACCCTAAATGCCTAAAATAAATAAATAAAATAAAATTCTTCTATACTTGATCTTTGAACTGTATGGGGGGCGAAGCAAAAACAACAAACAAGAGATGTAAGTAAGCATTGGGAATTGAAAGGGATCCATGAAATGCTCTCTTGCCATCATGGGGAAAGTTAGGTGCTCTTGCCATGCATATACCGAGTTCATACACTGTCTCTGCAGTCCACATCTACCCGACCACTGTTTAACAAGAGTTTCAGAAGAGCCAGGTTTCCTTTTCTTGCTGCCCAGAATGCAGCATTTGCAAGTGGCGTTTCCTTCTGTTGGAACAAAATAACAGCATTTTACAACAGGGTTCATGAGATTCTCATTAGTAGTGCTACCATCTCTATACAAAGAATAAATAATATTGTCCATTGATGTCAGCTCAGAAGAAAGCATTTCTAAACACTTGACACATCACCAGGAGATTGCTGTACTAACAGCTGATAATTATAATATACAATAATTAATCAGTGAAATATGGGCTGTGATAATGAGTTAATCTTAGATACCTGAGTTGATATCCCAAAGATCTGTGATTTGAGGTGGCAGCTCCCTACCCTGGTGTCCTCTCATATCTCTTCATTTGAGTCCTGTTTGATCTTTATGATTTTGTCCCATATACTTTTGATTTTTTAGTATGTAGTTGTTCTTTCTACATTAACTAACTACATTATTATAGTTATTGTGTATATTGGTTTTTTTTGGCTCTGCTTGCCTCACTCTGCATCAGTTTACACATCATTTCAGCATAGTAATATTTCATTATATTCATGTACAATAATTTGTTTAGCCATTCACCAATTGATGGGCATCTATGTTGTTTCCAGTTCTTAGCTATCACAAAAAAAAAAGTCACTATAAACATTTTCGATTATGAGGACTTTCTTCTTATTGATGGACTTTTTGGGGTATAAGCCCAGTAATGAAGTCTCTCATTCAAAGAATATGGATATTTTAGTCACTTTATTTGCCTATTTCCAAATTTCTTTCCAAAATAGTTGTACCATTTGACAGCTCCACCAGCAATGTATTAGTGTACCTATAGCTCCACAATTCCTCCAACATTGACTATTGCCATTTTTTTGGTCATTTTTTCTCTTATTTGCAGGGTGTGAGGTAAAAACTCCACTTTTTTAAATTAATTTATTTTGATTTATCAATAATCATTTCCATGCTCTTTTGAGTTTAAAATTTTTCTCTGCCTTCCTCCCCACCACCCTTTCCAAGACAGTGCACAATCTGATATAGGGTATATATATACATTCTTATTAAACATATTTTCAGATTAGTGATGTTGTAAGTAAAAATTAGAACCAAGAGGAGGAACCACCAGAAAGAGAAAACGTTACTCAACAGAAGAGAAAAAAATAGCAAATAGTTTTCTTTGATCTGCATTCAAATTCATAGTTCTTTCTTTGGATGTGGATAGCATTTTCCATCATGAGGCCTTTGGAGATGTCTTAGATCCTTGTATTGCTGGGTCCAGGTTGTTTTAATATGCATTTCTCTTATTCCTGGTGATTTGGAGCATTCTCTCATGTAGGTATGAATACTTTGCAATTCTTTTGAGAACTGTTTGTTCATATCCTTTGACCACTTATCTACTGGGGAATGGATATTAGTCTTATATATATTTATTAATTATATGCCTTGCATATCAAACTCTGATCAGAGAAATTTGATACAAATTTTTTTCCCATTCTGCCACTTCCTTTCCTGTCCCAGATGCATTAATTTTGTCTGTGCAGAAGCTTTTCAGTTTCAAGTAATCAAAGTTACCTATTTTAGCTTTTGTAACTACCTCTATCTCTTATTTGGTTTAGAATACATGTTCTACCCACAGCTGGGAAAGGTATATAATCTGTTCCTCTTCTAATTTTTTAATAATATGATCTTTAATATTAAGGTCACATATCTATTTAGAATGTATTGTGAAATATGGTGTAAGGTGATGATCTAAGCCTAATTTCTGCCAGACAGCTTTTCCATTTTCCCACCATTTTAAAAAAAGTTAAATAAGGAGTTTTTTCCTAGATAATTTATGTTTTACATTTTATCAGACATTGTGTTATTGAGTTCCACTCTTTCTGATTCTCTCTTGTCTAGTCTGTCCCATTGTTCCGTCTCTCTATTCTTTAACCAATACCAGATGGTTTGGATGACTACTGCTTTATAATATAGTTTAAGGTCTAGAAGTGTGTGTATCTGAAGCAAAGAGATATGCCAGGGACAGATGGATATGGAAAGATAGCAGTCCAAGGAACGAAGGAGAGTAGTAATCATACTGGGAATAGTAGTCAGCCACCTTCTGGGGGACCAATTCACAAGTTTAATTGCAAATTAGGGGGAGTGAGTGGAAAATTCTGTTTGCTGATTTGAAAAAAAGAGGACAATTTTATTGTAGTGAAACAGAATCATCTAAAATGAATGTCTGCTTCCTTCCATATAAGCACACTTGGGGATAAAACTTGTGGAGATACTCAGTGTTGATAATATTTCTTTTCAGAAGTCCAACAGCAGCCCTCAGAACCTGTAGCAAGTCCAATTCCTCATTATACAGGAATTTGTGCTTCTGTGTATGTTTGGACAATGTCTAGTAATATGCAGATTACGAAAATACTTTGAATAGTTTCATGGCTGATTTATGAAGGAAAAAAAAAACCTCTCACATTTGAGATTACCAGTTTGCCTTCCCTGAAGTTGTCAGCATCATTTTCAGGAGTCGAACTGATAATTAATTTATGAAATTATGAAATAGCAGGAGAAATGTCCATTTCTTTGGGTATTTGCCAAGACTGAGATGGCAGCAGGAAACGGGGTTGTAATCACACTTGAATAACCATGGAATGGGTGGGGGCCAACAGTACAGAACATACAGAGACAAGCAGTAAAGGGGGTACAGAGACAGATGGCATGGGGACAGGGGATGGATGGTGAAGGTAGGCAGGCAGCATGAGGAAGAGGATGGGAAAGGGGAGGAGCAGAGAGTATCACTCATGTAACTATGGATTACAATTGGGAGCACTCAGGAGCACGGACCCAAATGGAGATGGAAGAATGGATGGTTCCAGGGACAGGAGTACGAGGTCTCATTTTTATAGGGTTTTTTGGGAAATAGACTAACTCTTATCTGTACCACTTTGGAGTTAGTTCATTAACATTTTCAAATTATTTTGTCAGTAAAACTTTAAAGATAACATGTCCATATCATCTCAAAATTATCAACACCATTTGGTGATCTGTTGGTCTTTACTGCGGAGGTCTGGAATTTGTCTGGGATTTATATATCATAGGACCAAAAAGCCCTGATACATGGTTTGCCTTGATTCAGCACATATTACACACATTATGTGGCTTTTGGTTAATATATGATCCAATTCATAAATCATACTCCTTTGATCTTTGGGACAGTTTGGATGTGACTTCTGGGGTCCCCTTTACAATCTCAGTTCCTTTATTGACCCTTTATACTGGCTAATTATAAACTTAGTATACTGACTAGGAGTGGCCAAGGGGAGTGTTAGGGGGGCCAGAACTAGATAAAATTTTAACACATGAGTCTTCAAGCAAAACTGAACTTGTGGCATTCATACTGTCATGCCCGATGTAGTTTACTGCTTTTGTACCAGCTAGGTTTAACTTGCTTTAGTTATTAGTAATAGGGAGAATTGGCAATGGCAGGGGAGGTTTTAACTGTTGTAAATCCCTAAACAATGACCTTTTAATAAAGAGATTCCCTCCAGCCAAGATACAGTCATCTGGGTGGGTGCAGGAGGAGGACCTAGAGTTCCCCTTCATCAGGGCTAATTGTCCCGAGGTAGTTGGCAAAAGCGTGAAAACACGATCATTCTGGATCATGTGCTCAGAATGTTTTGCCATTTCATTTAAACCCATAATACTTTTGAAAACCTCTTTGCAAGGAGAAAACCTGCTATTTTTGTAGCAGGCTCTTAAAATGGGAGACCATTCCCTCCTCCATGATGCCCTAGGAGCATTTTCTCATGGCTTGGCTTCTTTGTCCATAGAGGATGCTATATGAAATATCTTACATCTTTCTGCAATAAATCACCTCCCTTTTCCCTATTTTAAGGAGGAGGGAGCCAGGCATGCCCTCACAGCTTCCAGGAGGTCATTCAGCTTTCTGAAGGTACTTGCTTCTACCTCCCTCTTGCCTTCAAGCTTATCACAGAACAACAATATGGAAGATGATTTTCTACACACGATGGGGTGTAAGCTGCTATCCCCCATTACCAAATGCATCTTTTTCCAATCTTCTGTTGCCACACCCTCCTCAGTCCCTTCCTACTGCCCCCAGATGGGAGGGTCTTGGACCAAGGATCCTCACCCAAGTCACTGCACTATGGAGAAACACCAATATTTATTTTTTATGATAAGGGCTAGGGAAGTAAATTGAGTCACTTATCTCTCTGTGGCCAGCACAATCTGGCCAGCACAATCTAGTACTAGATCTTTGCTAAATTTTTGTTTTACATAGTACAATGCACACACAATTTTAGAGGACTCCTGGGTGGGACCCTGGCAAGTCAAATAACTTTCTGCCGCTATTTCTGAATTTTCACAACGGGCCTAACCCTCCTGCACTGAGAGCTGAAACAAACTATAACAAATATAGGCATGCCTGACTAACATTATTAACTGGTTTTGCAAAAGCAATTGTTAGGGAGAAGTTGCAGGCACAGTGAGTTCCACAGTAGCAAGGTTATAAATGCACAAGTAGGCAAATGATATTATAGCAGGATTTCATGACTAATATTAGGGTAGGGTTTGGAGTGTCAGTTCAGTGCAGTGATATAACATTTCAAATCCAATAATCCAATCCAATCAACATTTATCAAGCACCCACTATATGTCAGGCACTGTGCTAAGTGCTGTGGTTACAATGAATAACAAGAAAGACAGTCCCTGTCTTCAAGGAGCTTACAATCTAAAAGTAAAGACAATACCCAAAAGGAGGCAGGAAATGGGTGGAGGACATCAGGCAGTATCTGGTTAGAAGGGTATCACTTCCTTGGAATTGAAACCAGGTGGAGCAGCAGATGCAAAGTGGAAATGAGATAACGTTTGTAAAAAGCACTTACTACAGTGCCTGGCACACAGTAGGAGCTATATAAATGCTTATTCCTACCTCCCCTCCCTTGGAGTCAGGAATTTTTGGTTTCCAATCCTGGTCCAGTCCAGTCAGAATTCCTCTGACAATTACCTTTGCTAAGCCATTTTTCAGTAGTGTCCCACTCTTCATGACCCCATTAGGGAT